CCTCGGCTTATATTCGGGTCGGCCTATACTCGAGTATATACGGTATTTGTTTTTCTTGTGAGTCAAGATATTCTCAATAATTTTATTCAGCACCACAATTCAAAAGCATCATTTTCCCATTGTTCAGCTAATTTGAACATTGTTTCCAAAGCAGAAATGTTAAAATTGAATAAACATTAGCCGTCTTGGAACCAAAGAAGTCAAATGGACTGGAATGGGTCACTTTACATCAAAAGAACATCAGATATTTTATGGCAGACAAGAAAACTGTATAAGATGTGGAGTCATTCTGATTATTAATTAATGTCAAAGTCAACACTTGGATTTATCCCCAACAATGTTTTGATTTCTTTAATCTGCTTCCCTATTGCCATGATGGCGAACCCATGGCACACGTGCCTGAAGTGGCAGCAGAGCCATGTCACCTGGCAAGAGCGGCATTCCTCTTCCTGGTTTCTGGCTCGCATGTGCACAAAATGATCAGCTGGCCTTTGTGCGTGCAACAGTGCCAGAAACTGGAAGAGCTGGTCTTCCATTTTTCTGTGTGAGCATGCATGCTAGCCAGCTGATCGTCGTCCGTGCATGCACGCCAGTAACTGGAAGAATAGCTGCCTAGCGCGCATGCGTGCGCCAAAAGTAAGTTTTTGGGTGCGTAAAAACTGCACCCTGGGCAGCTCCTCTTCTGGGCCTGATGAGCACACGAAGTGCGTGCACGCTCCCTTTTTGGCACTCGTTGCTGAATAGGTTCACCATCACTGCCATCCAATGAATCTGATCATAACTCATTTTTTCCAAGATGAATGGACTCTTAAAATTTACAGAGCTGGACTATTAAGTAAATTTTATATTATCCATTATCAGAGCCGTGGTGGCACAATGGTTAAAATGCAGCACTGCAGGCTACTTCTGCTGACTGCCAGCAGTTCAATTCTCACTCAAGGTTGAATCAGCCTTCCATCCTTCCCAGGTCAGTGAAATGAAGACTCGGATTGTTGGGGTCAATATGCCAACTTTGTAAACCGCTTAGAGAGGCTATAAAGCACTGTAAAGCAGTATATAAGTCTAAGTGTTATTGCTATCAACATAATAAAACCAAGGATTTTAGATTAGTAGCTTTGATTTGTATTTTTAAAATTTTTTATCTGCTTTATTGATTTTGCTACATTCTAAATCATCCACTAAGTCATCCAAAGAATTCAGGTAACTTGACTAAAAATATTAGCAGAGTAGCATTAACAGCTACTGAGGTTGACGATTAAGACACTGTTTTGCAAGTGTTCTTTATTATATTCACATCTCAGTTTCAGTATGAGGAATAAACAGGGTAAACTAGAAATTCAAGTACATGAGGGCAGATATGATATTATTGCCATTACCAAAACTTGGTGGGATCCAACCAATATTTTTTTTGTAAAATATAGATTAGGAATGCAAGTCAAAATAAGCAAGAAAATAGTAAGAGAACATCTACGACTCTATGTTCTGAAGGAACTGACAGATGTGATCTCAGAAACATTTGACCATTTCTTTCAAAGATCCTGGAGCACCAAAAAACTACCAGATGACTAGAAAAGTGCTGATGCGGTTTCAATCTTTAAAAAGGGGGGAGGGGGAATGGATCCAATAAATTACAGACTTATCAGCCTGGCATCAATACCAGGGAAGATTCTGGAAAAAGATAAGCAACAAACCTAGAGCAAATAAAGTCATAACCAGAAGCCAACAAGGGTTTGTCAAAAACAGATCATGCCAGACAAATCTTATTGCATTCTTTGACAATGTGACAAAATTAGCAGAGCAGTGAAATGCTGTGGATATAATTTACTTTGACTTCAGTAAGGCATTTGATAAAGACCACAACTTACTACTTGATTAGATAGAAAAATGTGGGTTAGATAGCATCACCCACAGATGGATTTGTAACTGGCTGACCAACCACACCCAATAGTTCTTAATGGAACTGCATTTACATGGAGGGAAGCATTCAGTGCGGTAACTCAAAGCTCTGCCTTAGGCAAAAATTTTCAAAATCTTTGTAAGATTTAGACAAGGGAATAGCAGGCGAACTTATGAAATTTGCACATGACACCAAACGAGCCAACACTCTAGAAGATAGGCTCAAGATGTGGAAAGATCTTGACAGACTTGAACACTGGACCCTATCTAACAAAATGAAATTCGATGAGAAAAGTAAGGTTCTACCAAAAAAAAAAAAAACCAAATGCTCAGGCATAGAACTAACTGTCTTGATTTAGCTAGAATCCAGATGGACAATCATTTAAATAGGAGCCAGCAGCTACCGCTGCCAAAAAGCCAATGCAGTCCTAGGCTGCATTAACAGGATGAATCAAGATCACATAATATGCTAGCACCACTTTATAATTCCTTGGTAAGACTATACTTGAAACAATGCATACAGTTTTGGTTACACTATAAAAAGATGTTGAAACTCCGGAAAGAGTAAAGAGAAGAGCAACAAAAATGATTAGAGGATTGAAGGATAAAACATAAGAACAGTTGCCGGAATTGGGTATGTCTAGTCTAGTCAAAAGAAGCACTAGGGGGGACATGATAGCAGTGTTCCAATATTTGAGGGGTTGCCACAAAGAAGAGGGGTGGGTGCCAATTTATTCTCCAAAGCACCAGAAGGCAGAAGAAGAAACAATGAATGGAAACTAGTCAAGGAGAGAAGCAACCTAGAACGAAGGAGAAATTTCCTGACAGGGAGAACAATTAACCAGTGGAACGACTTGCCTCAGAAGTTGTGGGTGCTCCAACACCGGAAGTGTTTAAGAAGCGATTGGGCAACCATTTGTCTGAAATAATATAGGGTCTCCTGCCTGAGCATGGGGTTGGATTGGAAGACCTCCAAGGTCCTTTCCGACTGTTATTCTGTTATTCAGCCGAGGATCTCAAATGGAGACGGCACTGGCTCTTTTCCTTTATTTCAAGAGCGGTGACATCCCTACTTCGTACACACACAGCTTCAACATTGGATTTAGACTAAGATTGCGCTTTCACGCACGCTTCCGAGGAAAGAGGCGGACTTCCCACGGTCCGAGGTAAGCACGCTGGGACGGCCGATTCTCCGGACAAAGGCATTCGCCCAACGCCGTACGCAAAGATAAAAACAGCCCGTTTTCTCTCGGCTCGCGTGGGCCTGCGTCCCGAGGACGCCTTCCTCGCGGTGTATGAGCAGGAGTTGGGCGGCCCGCGCTGCGCCTCCCTCTCCCCATTCCCCTGGGGGGCGTGGCTAGCGTTGCCTTTCGCCATGATGAGCAAATGACCTCGCGGGGAATGAAATTTAAATTCCACAAAGGCGAGAGAGTTCTTTGCTTCGAGCCGGACCCGACCAAGGCGAAGGTGCTTTATGATGCCAAGGTGGGATTTCTCCGCTCAGCGCGCGGCCCTTCTTTTCCCGCGCGCCAACCGCCTCCTCCTAACGGAAACCGCCTCCTTCTCTCTCTGGCGCTTCCGGGCGTTGTTTGTGTCGTTGTTGCCACTTGCGAGGTTCTGACAGGAGCTCGGAAAGAGGAAGCAGCTCTCTTCCATTTCCGTTTCTCCCTCTTTAAAAAAAAAAAGTAGGATTTAAAATTATTACGATTGCCTCTCTTCGAAACGGGCGCTGCACGAAAATGTACGGCGCCGGATAAGGGAAGAGATAGCCCCGAATGAAAGCAAGCAAGCTTCTCCTTTCTCTCCCCATCCACGCCTAATCGTGTTTGTTGCAAAAGGGCCACCAATCCCTTTAGGAGGTGCATTTAAAACTAGTGTGATCCTCAGGGATAACACTTGTAAATGGTTGGGTGCAATAGGCAAACGCTGTGTGTCGGTAACAATTTGATTATTCTTTTGTTTTCTGGTGAGTGGAAGATAAGTAGATTCTTCGGTTCCTAATCAGAGGCAAACACTTGATAATAAGGTGTTTTGTTTATAGTACAGTCCAGATACAATGCAGTTTAATGCACACAGTTGAACTGCCTCCGGCATTTCATGCCTGTTTGCTCAATAGTGTATATTACAACTGTTTTCAGGCATAGAGTGGCCGATTTTTATCTCTTCTGGTTAATTGGCAATGGTATTTTTATTTGTTCTCTGGCTTAAAATCTATTCAGTATCAATGCCATTTTTGCTAATAGTCACTGGTATGCAAGGTTTTTTTTTGTTTTTTTAAAAGGAAATGAAAGTTCATTTCAGAGTATTGTGGTTTGCACTTGACTATATTCTTAACACTTTGCTTAATCCTGGTTCACCCAACAGATCACCTATGAGTCATGTGTACCATTCCATAACATTTTGGGGATGAAAGTCAAGGACAAAATAATTAACTTGTGGTGGCAATGTTATAGAATAGATTTGACAGCAGGTGTAAAACATTATAGACCTCCCACATTTCATTCCACTATTAGTCTCTTGGAAAGCAAACCATTCTACAATATGTGTCCTGGGTTTATACGGCACACAGCACTACAATTGTGATTTAGTGCATCATGTGCACCAATAACAGTCTGAGGGTCTACAACAAAGCAATATTCATCTTCATAATAAATGCAGTAAAAAGTCCCCACCAATCAGTTTTCACAAGATATTTTTCATTCTTATGATTTGATTCCCTCCCTCCCTCCTCCCCTCTCTCTCTCTCTCTCTCTCTCTCTCTCT